TTCAGTTCCAACTCTGCACAGTGGTGCCATCTGATAAGTTTTTATTTTTAAGGTAGTTTAATCCGTGACAGTTCTTTTGCTTCCTGTGGCTAATGCTTATGTCTTTTTAAGAAAGTATTGTGGAGGGGCAATGGGGGAAGAGGTCAGAAGGCAGCTTTCCAGGATTGGATTTTCTCTTTCACCTTGTTTTTGAGGCAGGGTCTCTCTTGTTCCTGCTCTTGACCTCATATTCCAGGCTAGCTGGCCCGCAAGCTTCCAGGCAGTACTACTGTTACCAAGTCCCATCTCCCCAGGAGCGCAGGGACTACAGATCCAAACCACTACATCTGCCTTTGTAGCTGAGTTCTGCAATTAGGCTTAAGCAACAAGCACTTTTACCCACCTAGCCATCTCCCTGGCCCCTTGTGTCTTTTTTGAAGGTATCTTAAACTCATGAAAATCTGTTTACTCTAGCAGCTTCGTTATTTTGTCTTTCGTCTTTAGGCCACTGTTTCATTTTCTCTGTGGGTGTCCAGCTGACCAGGATCACTTACACTTTCCCCAAGTGCATCATGCCCTCCTGGTCCTGTAATCTGGTCCACGAGTGTTTCTGGAGCATCCTTTACACTCCCTGTCTGATCTCATGCGATTCTAGCACGCGCAATTACTCCAGAGTTATAGCCAGTGTTATTAAGGTTTTGATCAGAATTTTCCCGAATGTATAGTCCAGAGTTTAGAGTATTCCATTCCTTTGGCTATGGTATATTACTACTGCTTTTAGGCTGTTGTTAATTTCTCTGACATGTCTGAGGGGTGCAGCCCTGTGTATCTTTTGCCCTGCCGTATTTCCTTCCCAGCATTGTTGCTTTTGATGTAAATATTTGCCTTCTGAGAGGATCACATTCTAGTTATTATTGCTGATATGTGATACACTGTAGTTTTTACATTCCCTAAGTAATTCTTATTTTGCATTCTATATGAACATAGCCATATCAAATGATGACATTTTTATTTCTTCTTTTCCAAATTTTAATCAATTTTGATGTTTTTGAGGTAGAGTCTCGCTATGTAATTCAGGCTGGTCTGGAGCTCTTTATATAGCCTGGGTTTGCCTTGAGTTTATGATCCTCCTGCCTCTGCCTCCTGATTGCTGAGACTAAAGACTGTCCATCCCATCTAACTCAAGATATCATGTACTTTGTTGTCATTGTTATTTTGGAGGTATGGTGTGTGTGTGTGTGTGTGTGTGTGTGTGTGTGTGTGTGTGTGTGCAGCCAGAGGAAGAATCATGACCTCCTCTATCACTCTCATCTTTACTCCTTTAACAGAGTCACTCACTAAACCTGTAGCTAGGCTGGCAGCAAAGGCCATCCATCCTCCTGTGTTCATTTCCCACACTAAGTGCTGCGAATCCAAACTCAGGTCCTCGTGCTTGTGGGGTAAGCACTCATTCCCTGACCCAACTTCCAGTCTTTTATTTACTTTTTCTTTACTTGTACTATGACGTATACTATTATCATTTTTATTCAACTTTATGCTATATGTATAATGTTAAATAAAAACGATAACAGCACCCTTGGTGGCCTCCACTAGGTTTATAAATCCAGTTTGAAACCGTTCTTTCATTTCTTTGGAGGACCCTGTGATTGCTGTTTTTCTTTCTTAAACATCTGGAAGAATCTACTCATGCTGCCATCTGCCCCTGAGATTTTCTCTGTGAGAAAGTTTAAGCTGCTGGTTCTGTATATTTCTTAGATACAGGCCCATTTAGACTTCGTTTTGTATATTAATGTTGTTACATTGCCCGAGAAGTTTGAGTCTAGGAATCGTTACTGCCATATTGTCTCATTATATTTTTACCTGATAAACCTTTGTGGAATCTGTCCTGATGCTGCCTTAACACATGAAGTACTATACACTCTAAGTGGAGAAGGGTGAAGAGAACCCACACAGGCACCTCACATGAACACTACCGAGAACTGAAGGTAGTTCTGGTAGTTTTGGTAACGTGGCCTTCTTTCCCCTCTTCACTTGTCTTGCCAAAGGCTTATCAGGTTCTTTAATTCCTACTTTTTAAATCTCTTGGTAGCCTGTTTTCTTTATTATTTCCTGTTTTCATCGGATTTAATTTCCTCTTTTTCGATTCTTTTGAGATTGTTAGTCAATATATCCATGTATTTCCTACATTTGAAAGCTTTGCTGTTCTGTGAGCTCCCATTCATATCTGTACTATCAGTTCAGAAGATTTCTAATTGTGGTCATGGTTTCTCCTTTGATGTGTCAGTAATATAGAAATGCATCACTTTCCTTCTGTTCTCTCTGATTTTGGCTTTGAACATTTTGAAGGTCTGCTGTTGTGTGCACACAGCTGGAGATGGTCCTATCACGTTCCTTGTGAAATGCCCCTTTGACAATAGTCTGTTTTCTCTAATGCTGTGGGATTGCTTTGTACTAGTATAAGCACCGTCTTTCTTTTCCATTTTAAATCCTTTCCATTCTTATTTCAGTGTTTGTGTTTTCCTGTCTCTTTTCTGGTGGCCTGGAGCTGGGCTCTGTTTAGATTAGTGACTCAGTGTGTGGAGTTTAGAGTCTGCTCTCCTATTCAGACTGTTTATTCACCTGCTTTAAATTCTTTTTTATCTTTCTTCCCTTCTCCTGGATTGTTTTTATTGCCTCGCTTTTATCCTGTATTAGCTTGTTGATTTACACTCTTTAGCTTTTTAGTGGTAAATGTAATATTTAAAACTAGCTTTTTATTATCCAAAATAATGTCTTTACTTGTTCTCATACAGGACTGGGGATGTAGCTCAGCAGGCTGAGTACTTGCCTAACATGCACCAACCGGGCTTTGTGTTGCCAGGTTTATGCAGTTGCGGGTAATCCAGCACTTGGGAGGATTGAGAGTTCAAGGTCATTGTTAGATACATGGTGAGTTTGAGGCTGGCTGGGACACCAAGATGCTGTCTCAAAGCAAAGGAAAACTCCTGGGAATGCTTGCACCTTTCAGTATTAAAATGTCTCCTTGTACACTCTTTTGTGTTGTTGTTGGTGGTGGTGGTGGTGGCGGGTTTGTTTTTTTTTTTTTTGTTGTTGTTTGTTGTTGTTTTTTTGGGGGGGTTCTTTTGTTTTGTTTTTTTGAGACAGGTTTTCTTGTGTAGCCTTGGCTATCCTGGACTAGCTTTGTAGACCTGCTGGCCTCAATCTCATAGAGATCTGCCTGCCTCTGCCTCCCCAAGAACTGGGTTTCCTGTGCATTTTAATCCTACAAATGCCAAGGCAGTATTATTATTATATAATATAATCAGTATTTATTGTCCAAAATTTACTTTTTCCTTACATTTTGTATTTCTACGCATTTCTTTTTTGTGGTCTCCTTTGAGCACAGGCCTGCTGTTGGCACTGTCTCTTATTTATCTTCAGGGCACTCACTATCTATCTCATGTTTACTCTTTGGAGATGTTTTCTCTTTCTGGTTGACTTTCTCTTTTGAGTTTGGCAATTTGATCCTTTTAAAGCTGTTGAGTAGGTACAGACTTGTTGTTTGGCTCAAGGGATTATTTGGTCAGATAATCCATGGGGCCATATCTACTTCTCAGGTAAAACTCCTATTTATGAATGACCATTAAGCTCTTTCCCCCAGACTCACAGATTCCCCTTCCTGAAATACTAGATGCTGTCTCACAGACGGGCTCTTGTGTCCCTGTGGTGTTTTCCTCATGCAAATGTCACAGTGTCATGTCCGGGGCCGCTGCTTCTGCACATGCAGTTGACTATCCTTTTTCACTACTGTGCATGAGCATTTCACACAGCCCAGGGAGCAAGTTAACTTCTGGTTATCTAAATACTCCAAGAGGCCTGGAAAACGTGAAAGCACGTTGGCCTTGAGGGTTGCTTCCTACACCTCTAGATTCAGAGTTTTGTTTTGGCAACATTGGGGTTGTCATAAAGACCCTATCACCAGACACAATAGCCACACACACTTCTTATTTGTTAGCACAGTATGGTCTGCATTAGAGATCTTTTAAGGTTGTTTTTCTTTTTCCTTTTTATTTTTTTAATTAATTTTTTATTAATGTTGGGTTTTTTTTTTTTTTTTTTTTGTTTTGAGACAGGGTTTCTCTGTGTAGCCTTGGCTGTCCTGGGCTCTCTCTGTAGACCAGGCTGGCCTCAAACTCACAGAGATCCCCCTGCCTCGGCCTCCCTGAGGCCGAGGTTAAAGGCATGCACCATCATGCCTGCTTTTAAGTTATTGCATTTTTATGTGCATTCTTTGATTAAAATTTTTATATAATATAATTTGATCATATTCTTTTGTCTTCTCTCCCACATCCTCCCCATTAAAATTCAATATCTCTCTCTAGAGAATTTTTTGAGACAGAATCTTCTCTCTCTTCCTAAAAACATTTTATTATTAATGTGTGTGTGAGCGCGTGTGTTTGCCTATGTGTATGTGTGCATGACTGGCCCATGCAAAGATCAGAAGAGGGCATTGAATACCCTGGAACTGGAGTAACAGGCCGATGTTAGCGATTATGTGAGTGCTGGGAATTGAACCTGGATCTTGTGGAAAAGCAGCCAATGTTCATAGCAGCTAAGCTATATCTCCAGCCCCGAAATCTTACTCTTTAACCCAGGTCAGCCTCAAACCCACAGTGATCTTCCTGCCTCAACGTCTCAAATGTTGGAATTACAAGCATGAGTCATCCTCCATGGGCTATATTAGATATTTTTTGAGCTTTAAAGGTCAGATACAAATCTGTTTAATCACAAACAAAATAAGTGCTGTTCTCAGAATCTCAACCCTGATGCAGGATCTTTGAAATCAAGCTCCCAAATAATGTACAGCATTCAATAAGCCTCCATAATACTGAGTTCACTTCTCTGGCTCTTGCCCTTCATATTACCACTGTAAGTGTTACACTGCAGTTTCTTTGTTAGCACTGTCCACAGGCTGTTCGTTTCATTCCGTCAAGCTGTTCCACACGGGTAAAAGTGACATGTCTGTTTTCAATATCTTTCAGGAGGGATTACAAAGACCGTGAGTAAGAAATTTCTCAAGGTGGGAATCCCTAAGAAAGGACCGGATCAGTGGATACTGAAGGAGAGAGTCGCCCGAGAGAGTCACCTGGAGTGTGCTGACCTGTTAGACTGCCAATGCTGGGGAGGTCAGGAGGTCAGTTTGTGGCAGGTGATCCTCACCCAACAGAACACTCCATCTAAGCTCAGTGAGCAGAAAGTCGAGGAGTCAGAGAAGGGCTGCCCAGTGAGTCCGTTATCCGCGCAAAGCCAGAGATCTCCAGCAAGCAAAAAAGCTTTGGAATGCGGTGAGTGTGGGAGAGCCTTCTGTAAGAGTTCCGCCCTTAAGAAACATCAGAAAACTCATGCTGAAAAACTCAACCCGAGTCAGAAAATGCCACTTAAAGACAAGCGCTATGAATGTAGAGAATGTGGGAAAGCCTTTCACCAGAGTACACACCTTATCCATCACCAAAGAATTCACACCGGCGAGAAGCCGTATGAATGTAAAGACTGTGGCAAGGCCTTCTCAGTGAGCTCTTCGCTTACCTACCACCAGAAAATCCACACTGGAGAAAAGCCTTTTGAATGCAACGTCTGTGGAAAAGCCTTTCTCCGGAACATACATCTTTCCCACCATGAGAGAATACATACTGGAGAGAAACCTTTCCAGTGTGACATTTGTGACAAAGCTTTCGTTTGCAGAGCACATCTTACCAAACACCAGAATATTCACAGTGGCAAGAAACCCTATAAATGTAATGAATGCGGGAAGGCCTTCAATCAGAGTACAAGTTTTCTTCAGCATCAGAGAATACACACTGGAGAGAAACCCTTTGAATGCAATGAGTGTGGGAAGGCCTTCAGGGTGAACTCTTCCCTGACTGAACACCAGAGAATTCACACCGGGGAGAAACCATATAAATGCAACGAGTGTGGCAAAGCATTCAGGGATAATTCATCCTTTGCGAGACATCGGAAAATTCACACTGGCGAGAAACCCTGCCAGTGTGGCTTGTGCGAGAAGGCATTCAGGGACCAGTCAGCCCTCGCCCAGCACCAGAGAGTCCACACTGGGGAAAAGCCTTTCACGTGTAACACCTGTGAGAAAGCCTTCAGCGACCATTCAGCCCTTACCCAACATAAGAGAATCCACACGAGAGAAAAACCATACACCTGTAAAGCCTGCGGGAAAGCATTTATCCGAAGCACGCACCTCACTCAGCACCTCAGGATTCACACGGGAGAGAAGCCTTATAAATGTAACAGGTGTGGGAAAGCTTTCAACCAGACTGCGAACCTCATCCAGCATCAGAGGCACCACACCAGAGGAAAATGATATGAATGTGGTTCCTACGGAAATGCTGTGGGAACAATGCCATTAGTTATGGAATATAAGAGAATCACAACAAAGCCCTTCGTCAGGGCGGTTGTATTTACTGAGAGCCAGGTTTCGCAATGCCATGAGTCTTGAGAATTTTAAGAAGGGTGAACGCACCTTACTCTCTAGCACTGCCTCAGCTGAATAAAGTACTTTTAATTGGCATGAATTACCAACTATTAGAACGGAAATGAAACTTCATCAAAAGTATAAATGTCAGTTATCAAACTTACCATTTTAAAAGAATTATAAAGTTATAACACTTAAGATTGAGAAGCAAAGGAACCAAAAGGGAAGAAAATGGTCCAAATATATTTTCTTCTAGATTTTCTGATATAAGGAAGTTGTTGTCTTTAATGGAACCCTTTGTCTCCCCTCATCCACATTCCTGGTTCCTAGTGTAAAGCAGGTGCAAGCCAGACCTGAGTCAAGAGTCATTTAAATTATGCTCCTCGAGATCCTACTTGTGTTTCAGCCACCTTTGTCAAATCTCCTGGGTCTACCTGCCCACTGGCTCCCTCCCTGTGTTCTTTAGGGAAGGTTCACTTGAATTGTGTGACACTCTTCTGACTTAGCTCCAACTCTTATCACCATGTTCCTTGTTATCACCACCCTGGACCTCATTCATAATGCAAATCAGAGTTGCAAAAATCAGCAGGGACCGTGATTCTAGATTTTGCACCCAAATCCAACTTTCAGAATTTAAGGTCTCTTTATGGAGGCAAAAGCTCTCAAAGGTACTGTATCATCCAGTTAGTTGTTCAAGCCCTCACTAACTATGACCCTGGCATGATACCTAAAGACAAACTTTTCCCTGATAGCCATTACCCTCTAGCCATTCCAAACCATAGTAAAGTTACAGTGTCCACAGGAGTCTGGGGCTCACTCAACCTGAGGGTTCTAAGGCCAGTTACCAAATGCTCTGACCCGTTTCCTGTTCCTGGCCAGTCCTCTGTAGCTACTGCATTCGGGTGTGCCACAACCTTTTTATTGAACTGTGCATCCTGGTCCTTGCCCAGCCTTTGTCTGGATTTCTCAGGGTATTAATTCTGTGCTCTATAAAAGCACTATGCTTATAATCTCTGCTTATATGCTAGAAAGTTCATTTCTTTTCCTCCACTAGGACATCCCACCACTTAAAGACTACTGTCCTAACAATAGTGAACAATATACTGAACAATTCCATGGGTCCTGAGAGGAAAGGTAGCACCATGGACACTCTCTGGCTGTGGCCAGCCTCAGCCCCGAAAGGCTGTGACAGGCTAGGCTTCCACCATCATTAATTCCTCAGTGTTTCTTCTGTAGAAATCACATTCACAACCATTCATCATCATATATGCAACCCCTGGGGACACTCTTTTCCACATCACAAGGAACAGAACATGCAAGCCATGAAGGCTGAAGAGCCAGTCAGCTCATTCCAAGAGGGAAGTTCCTGGTTCCTAGCTTGTAGAAGTGCCGGTTATGCAGTTGGGTAGCCTTGTCCCCTAAAGCAGTACAACTCTGCCGCAGCTTAAAGAAGGGGACATTCTATATCGTGTCAGATTCTGAGTTGTTGCGTCCACCTGGAAGCTTTGGGCACCCCCAAAACCTGAATTCAGATTTCAGCAAATAAAGGCCACCTGTGTGGGGAGGCCTCTCTGGTTAGGGGACTAAAAACTCACATGTCCTCTCTTAGGCATGTCAAGGGGGGGGGGCATTTAACGGGGCTACTGGGCACCCTCCGCCGTGTGTACCCATATATCCCCCGCAGCTTCCTATGGCCAGACCTGCAGATTCCATTTTAACCTGCAGCACTGTGCTTCCCGCCACTGACATCTGCCCTCGACCCGATGTGTATGACCCGCCGGATCCGTGGCCACACAAACCCTCACCTTTACCTTTCGAGTGTCCGAGAGTTTCCAAGTTCCTTTTTGTTTTATAGTGGTTTGTTTTGAGTCCAGCTCTCTGTCAGCCAGGCCCGTCCACAAGTCACTGCCTCCAGATGGCAAGGACTGCACTGGGGCTGAAGCTTGTGTCGAGGTTAACGCTCTCCTTTATCTTGGTGACGGCCTAGGAGGGTGGCTGCAACCTCCCTTTCCCTGAGCTTATCTTCCTCAGGTGCAGCTAGTGAAATTATGCTTATTCACTCATCCCTGGGAGACAGAAATGCAGTAAATAGCCAGTTAAACACGCCTTGGCCAACCTGAAGTCTAATAGTGGTGGCTTGGCTGGACGGTGGCTTTATGATGTTCTACCAAATGATTACTAGTGCCTTGACTAGGAGAGTCAACTTCTTGGGTACTATTCTGTCCTTTTCTAATCTGAAGTAGCATGAACTATCTACATGGCTGATGGGGTTACCCCAACATCAACTTTGACCCCTAGTGAGCATTTTCAGGACCCTTGAGATAAGTGTGTTCTCCAGCCAGGCGTGGTGTGCATGTCTTTAATCCCAGCTCTTGGGAGGTAGAGGGAGGCAGATCTCTGTAAGTTTGAGAATAGCCAGGGCTATATAAAGAGGCCCTGTCTCAAAAAAAAAAGTTTCTCCCACGTTACTGAGAAAAGCTTTTCTCCACCCTGACAGGTTAATCTCAAAACAATTCCTAGGGAGAGCCATCCCTTCCATTTCTAGATTTCATGGCAGAAAGACCAGTGCTTGGGACCTTTCAGGACTGTGGTTTGCAAGCTCTGACACATCTTCAGCAGCTCTCTCCACACAACCCATTCACCCTCTGTGCTCCACACAGTGCACAGAGATGGTTCCCAACATTCTTTCCTGGTGGCGTGACTGCCTGTGGCAGAGGAAGAGCTGAACTTGTTTGCAGTGTCGGTCTCCTCGGTCCCTCCTCTGAACTAGAGAAGCCACCTCCCATCAGACACACCAGAAGTACCAGTGTCACTCTGCTCAGGGTCGGCTAAAGTTTCCTCATGTTTGTGGACTCCCACCAACAGCCACCGAAACTACCTGTCCTCTTTTGTGAGAACTTCCTCAACTCCCGGTTTTATACCTGGGCTCCTTTCGCCTGCTTATCTAAGATTGCATGTCCCAGCCTACCACCTTCTTCCATATCCCTGACTGCTTTCAAAATGGCCTCTTGGTGGCTGAAGGTTAGCTCAGAAGTGACAAGCACTTGCTGCTCCCGGCACCGAGGCACCGACATCAGATGGCCCACAAACTGCCTCTAACTCCAGCCCCAGGTGATCTGATGCCTCCAAAGAGACCTCGGTGTTCTTAGCTGTGAGAAATGAATTATCTTTAGCCAAGGTCACCCACCTAGTAAGTGGTAGACTGGACCTAACCTCCAGTTTTGCTTGCTTGATTACCTCTCCGGGTGTTTTGCTTGTATGTTTACATGTGTTCTCTTGCACTTGCCTGATGCTGATGGAAGCCAGGAGAGGGAGTTGGGTTTTCCTGGGTGAACTGACCTCATTGCTGAAGGTACTACTGAAAGCTGTTAGCGTTTCATTTCTGCCCACCTAACACTCAGAGCTGCCCCACCTCCAAATCCCAAGGGCTGAAAACTATTTTGGGAAATTTTCAGTTAGAAATAAGAGCATTCAGAATAATGAAGAGTATTTCATTTCTGCTGTTGGTTTCCTTTGTTTCTTGAGGTAGGGGTCTCATGTAGCCCAGGTTGGCCTTGAATTAAGTAGGTGGCTGAACCTAGCTTTATATGCCTGATTCTCCTGCCTCTTAACAAATGCGGACTATCCAGCATGTGCCACCATCCTAAACATGGTGTATTAAGGGTATTTCTGAAGCTGTTTCACACTATCAGATAATGGAGAAATATTTACATACAATTGAACATTTTTATTACACTTTAGAAGAAACTCTGCAAACTGGTAACCAAAGAAGCAATAGAAAACTAAAGTCATACTTCTGGGGAAATATTGTATTTGTTAACTATAATTTACTCAATAAAGTGAAAAGCAAAATGTGGAATGGATTATTAGGGTTAAGTTTCCAAGAAGCAAGCATGTCATAAAACTAGAATAAGTGTGACAAAAATTTCACACTGTTGAGAAAGTATAAGCATATCGTAAAGTCTCATTTTGTTTGTTTGTTTGTTTGTTTGTTTTTTCCATTCATGTCTCAACTGGTTCCATGGGAAGAATGGTTATAAACAGGTGAGTGAAGTAAGCTTCAGGACTCAACCTCACCCCGATTTGAGCAATTTGTACTGGATAGGAAAAACTGACAATAAATGTGAGCTAAGCCTCTAGTCCAGCTCCACCTTTGTAATGTATACCAGGAGGATCAGCTCAAGGGCAGGGGATAATATAAAGCTTTCAGGTACAGCCTTGCTCTTTCCACAGGAAAGAACCTGTACTAGCAGAACCTCTTACACGATTCACAAACTTGAAGAAGAAGAAGAAGAACGAGGAGGAGGAGGAGGAGGAGGAGGAGGAGGAGGAGGAGGAGGAGGAG